ATATATATATATATATATATATATATATATATATATATATATATATATATATATATATATATATATATATATATATATATATATATATATATATATATATATAAAAGTTTAAGGGTGGCACACGTCCCCAAAGCACTTTTTTTTTTATACTCTTTTTTGACATTTTTCAACCCTTTGTGTGCCACCCTTAAACAATATTGAAGTCATTTTTTTTTCTATATAAACTCTCACAATGACTAATATAAAAATAAAATTAAGCGCTCTGACTGTATTTTTTTTTTCTTAACGCTGCAAAACTTTTCTAAAAAAAGTCAAAAAGAGGACTAAAAAAAAATGATTTTCCCTATTTCATGGATCGCGGCAGCTTTTTTTGGTGATTGAGATAACTTACAGACATGGAACAAATTCAAACTTTGGTATGCTTATACTTATATCAAACTATAATGTTTCGAAAAAAATTGGAATGATTGGAGCCTGGGATCTACAAAAACCCCAAAACTTGTGCCCCCAGCCCAAATATGAGGGCAATAAGTTACCGAGATTTATACTATTGCTATTCTAAACTAAATTTATATTCATCAACAGATTTCAAATTTCATCTAATAATACTTTAGCATTCGACAATTATGACTATGTAAAGTTTCCACCCTCCCCAAAATGAGGGGGTTAAATACTTTACATTGTCATAACTTTCGAACGCTAAAATAATATTAAATGAAATTTAAAATCTGTCAATGACTATGAATTTAGTTTAAATAACAATTGTATAAACTTATTGCCCTCACATTTGGGGCTGATGGCGCAATATTTAAGGCTGGTGGCACTAGTTTTTGAGTTTTGGTTGTGCCCAGGCTCTAATCACTGAGATTTTCTCAATCACCAAATAAAAAATAAAGTATAAGCTGGGGCGGCCACTACTTTTCCTTGCCTATAAAAACCATATTTTGGAAAGACATTACCCACTTTAATATGATATATCCAAGTAGTAAAACGTCTGTTCCAGAGAACTAGCTCTTTAAACACTTAAAATCTGTCTGGAATGATCTTGAAAAAGACACAATTCCATTAATGAGGATTCAAACTCAAACAGATTCCTGGTCTATTGCATTATGCTACATGTATGGCGAAAGCGTTGTATTACCTTAAAATGTATTTACTATTGGAAACCATTCCAAATTTATCAGAAGAAAATATAGAAGAGATTCGTGATATCGCTATGTTTTATCGGCATCTTTTACACTCAGTGGCTTTTTAGAGCAGTATTGCTAACTGCTGTCCCGTATCAGGTTAAAAATAATTATTATAAATAAGAAAACTGCGTAAAAAATAATTAGTTAATTGTTTGGTCAACGACTTAATCTAATATTGTTAAAATATTGCATAGGATATAAAAGCTCTGTTGCAAATGATGAAGTTCATGGATATAAATCTTCTTGGAGTTACTTCAGTATTAAAATCATGTGACAGAACCAGCTGGTAACTTGATTCTGCCTTAGTTGTGCTTTAGCAAGTAAACGTTGCCAAAATAGAGAAATTAATGCCAAAGTATTGAATAATGTACTTCTCGCCAAGCCAAATGTGTCTCCACTTAAACGTGTTATGGTCGATAAAAAAGCTTTTTCACTCTCTAGACTTTGCACAAGATCAGCCTCCATCTTTTTGTTCTCTAGTAATTTAGCAATCTTGGCTCATTTTTGATAAGATTGGACATAGAAAGGGGTAATTGCAGTGGCTTAAGTTCCCTTCACAGTTCTGGAAGTTCAACAATATTTATCTTGAGTTTGAATCTACTGTTAAATCTTATAATGTGGTCAATGACATGTCCGGGAGGGATATTAATTTAGTTAAAGAATTGATTGGAAAATCAAACAACAAAAAAAAGAGACAGAATTTGTTCTTGCTTAACTATGTATACAAAAGAAGTAAACAAAAGGCAAAGGAAAAAGATTTAGCATAGAATGTAACAAAAAATATTTAAAAGGTTGAGTGTTAATAATTTAAAGTCTAATATGACGTTGGTTTAATTTTTATTTCTTGCCCCTCCTTCTCCCGCAGCTCGAAAGAAAAGTATATTAATAGGGAAGGGCTAATCCACCTTCCTCTAAATTCTTCTCTAAGTTTAACATCAAAAATAATATAATATATTATAATAGCTTATTTATAATTTCATTTAACTGGCTAGATTTTTTAATGAAAAATACCATAGAAATGCAGGGGTCGCGGCAGTTTTTTTGATTATTAAGAATGATAACTTTTCAAACATGGAGCAATCTTTAATTTTGGGTATGTTTATACTTATATTTAATGAGAATACTTTGTAAAAAATTGCAGTGAGTGAAGCCTGGGAACTACCAAAACCCCAAAATTTGTGCCACCAGCCTAAAATCTTGCGTCATCAGCCTCAAATGTGAGGGCAATAAGTTACCGAGTTTATTCAATTGTTATTTTAAACTAAATTCATAGTCATTGACAGATTTTAAATTTCATTTAATATTATTTTAGCGTTCGAAAGTTATGACAATGTAAAGTTTTTAACCCCCTCATTTTAGGATGGGTGGAAACTTTACATAGTCACAATTGTCGAATGCTAAAGTATTATTAGATGAAATTTGAAATCTGTTGATGAATATAAATTTAGTTTAGAATAGCAATAGTATAAATCTCGGTAACTTATTGCCCTCATATTAGGGCTGGGGGGCACAAGTTTTGGGGTTTTTGTAGATCCCAGGCTCCAATCATTCCAATTTTTTTTTCGAAACATTATAGTTTGATATAAGTATAAGCATACCAAAGTTTAAATTTGTTTCATGTCTTTAAGTTATCTCAATCACCAAAAAAAGTTGCCGCGATCTATGAAATAGGGAAAATCATTTTTTTAGTCCTCTTTTTCACTTTTTTTAGAAAAGCTTTGCAGCGTTAAGAAAAAAAAAATACAGTCAGAGTGCTTAATTTTATTTTTATATTAGTCATTGTGAGAGTTTAAATAGAAAAAAGAATTGAATTCAGTATTGTAGCACACACATAGGCTCAAAAAAAGTCAAAAAAGGGTAAAAAAAAAAAAGGATTTTAGGGCCGTGTGCAACCCTTAAACTTTTTTAAAGTTAAAAAAAAGTCTTATATATAAAACAAAGGTTTGCGCACTTTATAAGCTTCCGTTCTAGTCCAAAACAAATTTTTACCCAATTCTGAACCACTCTAATATATATGTATATATATTTACATTTGATTAGTTTAAAATGCAGTTTTTTATTTGTTACAGGTGGTACTGAGGAACCACACTCAAAAATAATTACAATATGGAATATCAATTCTAAATGAATGGATGCGAACATTCGAATGCTTAATTCACATTGCTTACAAGCTAACAGTCAAGAAATGGTCACTAAGATTACCAGCTAACAAGCAACATATTGAAATGCAAAAGAAAAAAACTATATTTGCTATTCAAGAGAAGATGAGATTGTCTGCAAGAGAAGATGGGATTATCTGATTTATCATTGAATGATTTACGTGAAATGCTATCCATGGTACTATATGCCGCAGAGCATTCACAAAATGCTAATTCATGCTCCCAGTGTTGTTGATTACATAACATTACTAATTGGGCTCTTAAATGAAGAAGCTATAGATGGTGATTTTAAGAAGTATTGTGAGCATTTTGCACGCAATTATGACCGTATCAAATGTAATGAAAATTTATTTAATTGATTATTTTGTTCTTGTGATCCAGTCATTTCCTCACTAAGAACAATACTTAGTACTAACAAGAAGGTTTTGTCAGAAGGTGTTCAGCAGATGTTTAAAAGCAGTGTTTGGTTGTTGTTTCTAAGGATTTTTACAGGCCAAATTTTGGTTTCTTGTTTTAATCTAAACTGAAATTCAAATATATACATTGTTAATTAAAAATTGACAGTGTTTTGTAATTTAGATAAATTAAAATGTTTCCACATACATTTATTTGGAACACCAGAGTTTTAAAAAATATAAATTTTAAAAAAAGATTACAATTTTTTATTAATTTGCAGTAAATAATTCATGAATTTGTATAAAATTTGACTGTCACTATAGCTATAAGCTTGTTGCTATAGCTATAAGCTTGTTGCTATATATAAAAATTGACTGTCACTATAGCTATAAGCTTGTTGCTATGCTCATAAGGTATCTATAGCAACCAAACTTCATATCTTAATATTAAATGCAGACCTCATAATGGTACTATTGCCAAATTTAGTGCATATGACATGCTAAAACAACCATAAGAAGGTTAATGCTGTGCCAAAATAGATATCCATAGCAACCAAACAAAAAGTAGCACCATAAAAAGCGCAGACCTTGTACTGGAACTCGTGCCAAATTTAGTGTATATAGCGCACATAACAAATCTACTACGAAAAGTAGGTTGCTGCTATGCAAAAAATAGTTATCTATAGCAACCAAGTAAAAAATAACACCTTCATAAGAGGCGCCTACCTTACACTGGCGCTCATGCTAAATTTAATGTATATAGCACATATAACAAATCTGCAACTACAAAAAGTAGGTTGTTGCTATTCAAAAAATTAGATATCTATAACAACTAAATAAAAAATAACACCTTCTATAAGAAGCTCGAGCCTTATATTGGTACTCATGCCAAATATGGTGAATCTAGCACTAATATTAAATTAGTTATTAATTTTGTCTCAAAATTGGCTATTTTGGCCCTCTGTTTAACGCTCTGTTTAACTTGTTTACTAGGCCCTAAACACATTTACGGCCCCACTTATTTTGGTGCTCTGTACTTCGAATATCTCAATAACTCAATACATGAGGAAAGAGACTAAAATTTATATAAAAAATGTTTTTAAGTTCTATTTTTTCAAGTGCATTAAAATTCGAAGCTTTAATTGCAAATTTTTCAAAAAAAAATATGTTTGTCTTTTTTTTTTATATATCTAATTTACACCTATCTGAATAATAAATTTTTTGTACCGTTTTTATTAAAAGAAAGTATTATTTAGGTTTGTGTGCTATTGGAATACCTCAAATTGGCAATTTCATATCCCTTATTGGCGCTGTAACAAGCTCAAGCCTTGCAATAATATTTCCAGCTTCGATTCACATTCTTACATTTAAAAAAGAAGATCTTTCAAAATTAGCTTTTGCAAAAAATCTGCTTTTAATACTTATTGGGGTAGTAGCATTTGTTATTGGCACGTATTCATCTTTACTAGCAATTGCTGATGGGTTTCGTTCATCAAAAAATAAATATTTATAGTACTAATTTTAATTTTTATTGTAATTTTTTTATTTAGAATTATTTTTATAACTTGCATTTAAAATTTATGTTTTAAATAAAATTCGGAAGAGAGTTGTGAGTTAAGAGTTCAAGTTGCTTTATCGTGCTTTTTCATGCTTTCAACCTTTTTCATGGAAATCCATCATAGTAGCGTGGCACCCATTGTTTTTTTTTTATAAAAATGTATAAAATAAAAACCTGATTTTTTTTAGCTAATGATTTTATGAATTTTAGTATTTTATTTTGTAATCAATTTTTTTATTTTTTCTTAAATTTATGCCCATATATATAATTGGCTAATATGGCTATTCTACGCTACACCAATTAATATTAAAAAACTATATAATATAAATAATTCGCAAATGTTATGGCTAATCCACTCTACACCTACTAATATACCAAATGCACTTAATATTCGTTAAATGCATTTGGTACACCTATTAATATTACATAATAATATTACATCATAAAGTGCAAATACACCTATTAATATTGCATCATTAATTGCAAGTATTCCTATAATAAAAATTATAATAATATATATCTAGCAGGCCGTAACCATACTTTTTTTTTAGGAGTGTGAAAAATTTTTTACTGCAGCCCACTGTTTTTTGAAACAAAATTTAAAGGTCTCATTTTGAAATTTTATAATTAAACACAAAATTTGCCGCATTTTTTAATATAATGTAAGTGATGAAAAATGAATGAGCAACAAACATTTGTTTTTAAGGTGGTACTTGGATGAAAAACCCAAATTCTTTATTTACTATTCAAATTTGATACTTTGATACAAAAATTATATTCAGGTAACAATGTCTTTAAAAAAAAAAAAATTGCAGAAAACCCTTTTTTAGGTACAAAGGTCTCAAAATAGTCACTTTGCAGTGCGTCAAATTCAGAAAAAACATCTATAGAATGATAATAAAATTTTTACAGTTTGTTGATAATTTTACAGGTATGAAAGCAGAACTAGCATGATTGAATAACTAGATCTAAGGCAAATAAAATTCAAATACCTTGCTTATAAAAAGGTTTCTAAATAAAACTTTGGACTTGGGTAACTCTTTTTTTTTCAAAAAAAAAGGACTTGGGTAAAATATTTTTTCAAAAAATGTTGGTTCTAAACCTGTATCTTATAAAAAGTAACCATCTTTTAAAATTTCAAAAGTAAAGCTCAAATCAATCAAAAGTTATATGACGCATCATCCAAAAATTTCAATTTTGAGATAAATGCAATTTAAGTAATAACATACTAAAATATCACAAAATTTCTTCTATAAATTCAAAAAAAATAATGGTTTCCATGATTGATCATTATAAATAAAAAATAATAAAAATCTCTCTAATATAAATCATAACCACGCTTTACTTGTTGCTTAACAATATTAGGCAATTTCCTTTCTATCGACATTACTCTTCGGTTGTTATTTGAAACATATAAAATCCTGGAACAATACCTAAGCCCTCTAAAAACCTTTAGAATTTCAGTTGAACCGTCATTAAAGTTTATAACTGCAGAAGCTACACCGAGCTCAACAGTGGTTTTACAAACGTAGATATCTTTTTGACACTCTTTCCAAATCATTCCATTTTGTGACTCATTTATTAGTTATTTTAAGTTTTGCCATAAAGATATTTTTTTAATAAATTGTCATCACTCAAACTTAAAAAAACAGGCTTTATTTCTTCAAAGACAACAATTGTTTTTCCTCCCTTGTGTTTGAACATTGCTGTACCATTTATTTGTCAACCTGATATTTACAACAACTATCAGGAGCATGCGGGCACGTTTGATGCCTACTATATTCTTAAAATATCTTTTGCTTAAAAGCAATGGAAAAGCATTGTTCCAATTGCTTTTTTCATCCACAGAATTTTCCTAAACTGGTTAACCTTTTCAAATTTTCCTCATAGCAATAATAGAACATACATTAACCTCAAACAGAGGTCTACCACGACTGCTTTTGCATTTATATTCTTTAGTTGAATGAAAGATAGTACACCAACAACAACTTAAACATTGTAACAATAATGATATAGGCAAGTCTTGCTTTCTCAAGACGTCAAACTCAGTCTTTTTGTCACAATCAGGGCATGTTGCAACTAAATTAATATTTGTCACAAAAATATCAGTTGAATAAACTATAAAAAATGTAGAATTAACAGTTGGGTTTAAAGAATTTACACAGGGTAACAAGCTGGTGTCATCGGTGAATAAAGATGATCCAAAGTTTATTGGTCTGGCTTCATTATTAATTTTAGAAGATAATGATGTACCTGATTGTAAATATGATAGGTTTAATTTCTTTACAGAAGGAGAAATAAGTAGGTTAGAAAGAGGAATCTCATCTGGTTCTTCGTGTTTTTTGTTTTGTTTGTGTGTGTGTTGGTTACCGTTGAATGTCCGTTTAGAAAATGCTTTTGAGTGGGCAGACTTTCTTTGTAATATGTTACAAAGAAAGTCTGCCCACTCAAAATTAAAAAAAAAAAAAAAAAGAAAGTATAACCAAGCTCCATTTTTTTTTTCATTGCTGTTGTTCATTAATGATGAACATTAAAATTAAATAACTTGAACAAAAAAATAAAATAAAAAAATAAAAACCAATTAAGTTAATTATAACAAAGTATAACTACAATAAAAAAAGATAAAAAATCATGTAACTAAATCATGCTATTGTTTCGCAGTGGAAGCTTTTAAAGTTCCACCACTTATATGGAACCATCAGGCCGTAATAGTCTTAAGAGAAGTAAGAAATATTTTATATAAGTGCAAGGAATTGCTAGATAAATTATAATATTTGGACAGATGTCCAGTATTGAGAGGTGGTGTTTAGAAGGGGAGTATTTAAGGGGAGATGATTAAAAACATAAACAAATATTATTTCACTTGCAGCTTTTCAACTTTTAAACATTTAAAATCTCAGGTTGTCTTTAAATCATATCTGTACTAAAATATGACATCCGCCTAAAATATCACATCCCCCGTAGAAAAAATGAAAACCAGAATGCGCTTTCGAGTCATTGCACTTAGAAGTGTATCAAGTACGTCTGGAACATTCAATTATAAACAATATAATTTTTTTCTAATAATCTTATATTTATTTGTCAGTTCTGATTGATTGCTTAATTGTTTGTTCCCAGTTGGCAGCCGAACTGTTGGTCCTGGAGACAAGGTTTGGTGTGCTCGGGGGTCGCTGGAGGTTAAAATGGTCTGGGATACTGGTTGAGCGTTTCCTATGATGTGATTTCTGAACATAGTTGGTTTCTGTTGTGTTCTATGCCTGTTTCGTCGTTTTCCAGAATTTTCTAGATTGTTCCACGTTTTTCCGGAGTGGACCAGAATTTTCCGGAGTGATTCTTAGTTTTCCGGAATGTTCCATAGTGCACAATGTGGCTGTTCCATCACCTTCCAGAGCATTCGGGGGCTTTCCAGAGTGTTCCGTGGTGCTCTTTGACTCCACTTAAAGCCTTCCATGGAGATGTAGGTGAATCACCGGAGATTTTACATAGCTGAATTTTTATTGTGTTACTGAGGTGAACACATCAATTGCGGGGTTGCAGTTCTAGGAGTCAGTTCGAGGGTTGGTTTGCTCTTTGCATGTTGCTGCGGGGAACGGGTGGGGAAATATTGTTTTTTGGTGGTAACTAATTCATTTTTGGTTCTTTTATTTTATGGTGGTCAACTTGGTACAGGGGCTTTGTTCTTTTCAAATGAGTATTGTGTATGAATATATATAAAATTATGTGTGTATGTTGAATATAAAATCCGCGGATGGAAGAAATATTAGTGTTGTGTACCAAGAGGCTCTGCAGCGGGTTTTATACAGTACCCAGGATTGAAAGTTTTTAGTCAAGTAATTGATTTTTGGAGGGTGGGTTTTCCATGAAAACTAGCAACTTTGACTTGTTTTGCCGGTACCCAGCGACGCGGGCACCTCTACTAGTATACTATAAATAAAGTTAGCATGAAATGGTAGTATATTTTAAATTCATATTTACAAAATTTTGAATGTAATGTATTGCGTTACAATAGTAAAAAAAAGATTACACATGAGGGATACAATATTTTAGATAATAAAAATACCAATCGTTTGCAATATTTTAGAAGCCTGCATAGTGGGGATGTGATATTTTAAGTAAGAATTCTAGTTTCTTTTTGTGATGTATACAGAAATAACAAGTGGTGGATATTATATTATAGATACCAAATTCTAATTTTTTAGAAAATTTTATTATTTACTTAGGGGGATGTAATATTTTAGAAGTATACATATAAGTATACTATAACATAGAAGTATACAATAACAAGTGGTGGATGTTATATTATAGATACCAAATACTAATTGTTTAGAATATTTTATTATTTACTTAGGGGGGCGTAATATTTTAGAAGTATACGTTGGGGGAATGTGTTGTTAAGAGTTTCAGTTTCTTTTTTTGACATATACAGTGAATAAACCGATTGTATGTGATATTCTAGATACCAAATACTAATCGTTTGAAATATTGTATGAACTACTTAGGGCATTTAATATTTAAAGGTAAACATAGAGGGGATGTGGTGTTTTAAGTAAGAATTTCAGTTTCTTTTTTGTCATATATAGAGAATAAGCAGGGGGGATGTGATATTTTAGTTACCAAATGCTAATCGTTTGAAATATTTTGCTAATTACGTAGGGGGATGTAATATTTTAGAAATATACATGTGGTATACATAGGGAAATGTGATATTTAAATTAAGATATTCAGTTTCTTTTTGTGATACATACAGAATTTACAAATGATGAATCTGATATTTTAAACACAATATACTAATCGTTTGAAATGTTGTATAAATTACTTAGGGGGTTTTAATATTTTAGACGTCTTCATAAGGGGGATGTGATATTTTAGAAAAGAATTTCAGTTTCTTTATGCGATTTATACAGAAATTCCAAGAGATGGATGTAGTATTCTAGGTACCAAATACTAATTATTTAAAATATTTTATGAATTACTTAGGGGATGTATAATTTTAGAAGCCTGTATGAGGGGGGGGGGAGGGGTAGTTTAAGTAAGATATGTATCTTAAATAGTGTTAGCTGTTTTTTGTTTCTTGGGTCCTCGTCTGATAGGGTGAACTTTATAATAAATTTATATTTTTAAATAAAGAGTATTTAACAGAATCAAGAACCTTTAATTTTTATAGAGTTTTTTTTCATTTTTTTATTATTTTTTCACCTGAAACGTATTTTCTTTAAATACGATTCAGGTGACAATTTAAATATGCAACGTTGTTCAACGAAGTTATATTTAAAACAAATATTTAGACTAAAAGTGTGCATTTTTTGTAAAACAATTTCTTTAAAACGATTAACTCCACTAAACGGTATTTACGGCTAAATATGTTCCACTAGTGACTATAATTACTTGTTTATGTGAAACAACACTTAAATATAACATAAACAACACTTACTTAACTCTAACTTAATCACTAAATAATACCACCTTTCAAACACCATCTTTCAATACTGGATATCTGTCCGAATATTATAATTTATCTAGCATTCCCTTGCACTTATATAAAAATATTTCTTTTTTCTCTAAAGAATGGTTCCATATAAAGTAGAACTTTAATAGCTTCCACTGCGAAACAATAATAGCAAAGGTTCGCAAGTGTTTTTTAATAAAGTAATATCTTTTTGTAATACGTCGATTCTATTGTTTGTAATTTTTAAACTACCGTTTATCAGTTTAAAAATATCTTATTGCTGTTTCTTAAACCTCTCTTGAAAAATTTCTAGTACTAACTTTATTGAGCTTTCGGAGTCTTTAATTGCATCCATGTTATTAATAAAGAAATATAATATTTATAACTTTTAATTATATAAATACTAAAAATTAAAAATGCTGTAATTTATTTTCTTTAAAATTATAGCGCTTGCAAAAACACGTCTTTTCACGAAGAAAGCATGCAGCTATATACTTATTTCTTCAATATTTTTTTGTGAGCGGCAGAAAAATAACTAAAAACATAAAAAAAACTATACTTTGTAATTAATTTTTAAAGTTATGAAAAAAAACTTTAAAAAACTTTAAACGATTTGGTAGCCGTTGCGCGAATCGCTATATATCATCGGATTGGACATTAATACCTGTCTAAATAATATTTAGAATAACCGCTTGAAATGTGTTAATTATCATCGGTTTAAAAAATATTAAAGAACATGAGATGACTAAAATATGTAAACGGACTTACCATGACCCGCATACTGGTCATGATATGTCCGCCCACTCCAACCATTTTAATAATTTCAGTTTATTTCAATAAACTTTAAAAAAGAGCAAAATATAATTTTTTTTTTTTTTTTGAGTTAACAATTTATGTTCAATACTTTATAACTTCTACAAAAAAAAGCGGGGAGGGACCTTATTATTTTTTTCTTTAATAACTTTCCATTACTTTTTTTCAGACTATCCGCATCTTTTTAGGACTCTTGCCCCGTTAATTGTGAAGTCTTTTTTCTATAAGAAAGAAAGTTGTCTCTTTAATGCCTATTAATTGCGCAAGCTTAACTAATAACTTAAGCACAGTAATAAAGTATTTAATTTTTGTGACATGCACAAAAAATTTCCAACGGTGTTTTTATGTTTTTAGAAATTTTAAAAGGTTTTTTAAAAAATTCTCTTTCGTTTGTTATAGTATGTAATATTTTGTTTGTTATGTATGTAGTATGTTCATATATGTTAGGCATATAATATCCATAGTATTGGTATCCATAGGCTTTTAAAACGTTTTACTTTGTATTCTCGAAAATTAGAAAAGATTAAAAAAAAATTAAGTAATAGGGTGGTTCTAAAAACAATATTTTTTGAAAATGTCTGATGAGACCCTGTAAATATGTTCTATGTAATGAATTAAGGTGATTCACCAAAAAAAAAAAAAAAATCCCCAAATTTCATAATTTCAAATTAAAAAGTGTATAAAAGCATAGTATATGAAAATAAAAAACAACATAAGTGTCATTTTACAACAGTTTATTTCTAAAATTGCGAAAATATGTCAAAAAGATTGCAAAATCAGTCAAATTTGAACAAAATTTTGAAAAACGATAACTTGGAAACCATTTGAAATTAGATCTTTATATTTTGCAAACAGTTTGATGCACATAAAATGAAGGGCCTTAACCAAAATCACTGCTATATTCTTAGTAAAAGTTGAAATTTTTGATTTTTTTTAGCTAAAACATCAAAATTTGGGGGGTTGGCTAATGAAATGAAATAGAAAAGTGTAAACAATTTATCAAATCCAACAATATTTTTGGTTCAGGCCCTCCATCATTACACGTAGAACATATCATAAAAATTTAAAACAAAAAGCTTTAGTCATTTAAAAGTTATGATATTTCAAAAATTAAAAATTGCACAAAAAAGTGAATGAAGAAAATCAACAATAAACATTTTATAACTAATAAAAATATCAAAAACTTCCAGATGAGTAGGGTTTAAAAGTTTCCAATTGTTCTTCTTCATCTTGCCAACCCTTGTTAATTGATTTTAAATGTATCCTTCTACTTTTTTTTCAAAAGTGTCTTTTTTATTTATGCTGGCAACGCGTTTTTGGTCTCTACAAAATGAGGACACCATTCTCAAGATTGAGGTGACTCGTTACTCTCTGAACACCAGCAGTTCCCTCATTAAAATACAATACAGCTAAGTTCACTCCCAACTCATATGAAGCTTTGTGAATAAAAATATTTTTTGGGCATCTAGACCATATAATACTATTAAGACCCTCATTAGAATTTTGTGTTTGACCATGAGTGCATTTTTTCAAAAGGTTGTCATCACTTAATTCTTCAAAGTCTTTCTTAATTATATCATATATCCATACTGGTAAATTAACTTTTAGTATGTAAATGCTGTTACCTGAAGAGTTTCCTTTCTTCCATATACACCAGCTATTAGGACCCACTGGACATAACACGTGGCGATGAAATTGATCAGGAAAATTAGTGCAATGGTAAAGAACTGCGCGAATGTTTTTTTTCATTTGGTATACCTTTTCATTTTCACTTAAGGAATTATTAGCTGCAGCCTGTCTAATAGCCATACCAAAATAGTTTTGTATTTTATTAACTGCGCATTCTGTAAATTTTCCTTTTCCAGTTAACCGATTACCATGATGTTGATCTTTTCTTTGATTACGTAATCTTGTACCAACGCGCTTCTGGATATGACCAACACACTCTAACTTTTCCGGTTCGATTTGATACTTTCCATATGGATTACTGCTAAGAACATCATTAAATGCAGAGGAATCTCCATCTCCATCAAATCATTTTTTCTACAGAACGATTAAAAATCTTTACCACACCAGCACTTTCTATAGCCCCTGACGATGCAATGTGATTTAAGGAGCAAACATGATTAGCTTTCCATTCAGTATAACCTGGATGATTTTGCTTTCTTTTCTACATTTTACATCCCCTACAATACTTGCAAAAGACTTCAAAGTCAATACGTCTCCCTTCTGAAATAGTGGTCACCACACCATTTAGCGAAACATGACCGCGTTTTTGCCATGAGCCATCTGAAGAAACTCTAATTAGTTTTTTTCCTGAACCAATGTGCTCCTCTTTAACTTTATGTTTAACTTTTATTGCAGCTGTCTTTGTGGATTGATCTGCTGATAATTTATATGCATTTTGAATAGTGCTATTAAGTTTGTTAAATGCGTTGTTATTCATACATGAAGTGTTTGCAATTCGGGCAAAGTCCACTAAGGCTTGGTGTCCTTTCCCATTTTCACGAAAAGCAATAACCATTCTAAGGTTAATATCGAAATAATTTCTACTTTGTTTAGGTACAGATTTTTTAACATTATCAGATGTATATGTACAATACTGAAATTTACATTTAGTACATTTAAAATTCAACTTGTGAGAAAATCCACTTCGTTTATCGTTGTCATCTGTAAAAACAATACAACTGTTACATTCTGGGCAACTGCCAATATTATCAATAACTTTTTTTAACATAGAGAAGTTTATTATAATGTTATAATTTTCTGAACTAATATAATTATCAGCTTTTGTTAAAGAGACTTTGCTGGCACTAACTGAAACATGCTCAACATTTTCGTCTTCTTTTAGGGTAGGGGTTTTATTCCTGGTTTTTATATAGCATTTTGGTTTTTATATAGCATTTTGTGGCAACCTGGTTGCCACAAAATGCTATATTTCTTTTTAAACTCTTTTTTTTTTTTGCTTCCCATTATATATAATATCCTAATATTTTAAAATATATAATATGAAACTGATAAGCTATACTAAATAATAAGAAAAATACAAAGCTTTTCAAATACAACAATAAATTATCACAAGATGGCTTCAGATAAATCATACAAAAATAGCAACTTCCATAGACTGTTACATTCTAAACTTTTGTCAAACCATGCTGGCCTACTAAACTAATGCGTAGCTAACAAAAAACTTAAATCAAGGCAAAGAGAGAGGGCAATTATAAACATAAGTTTGCGTTGCTAGGAGCCGTTGTTATGGTAAAGTTATCTGATAAGGTCTAATTAAAGTAAAATACTTCAAAAAATACTCAAGATATATGAAAACAGAATCCAGAAACATTTTCAGCAATGTTGAATTACTATAAAACAAAAAAATCTCAAAAACCAACTTTTGATAAAAATTTAGTTTTTTTTAGTGGTGAACCACCTTAATGTTACATTTGAAAATTTTTTGAATTTTAAGGAGTCGCACAAGACCCTTAAACATCAGACGGGTCATAATATTTTGAAAAAAAAAGTTCTTTAAAAGCTTATCGTGTTGGGTATAAAAAGAAGTAAAAGTTTATAAAACATCCAAAAACAATAATAATTTTATATAAAGATTACTGATTTAAATTTTATGGCTTTAAAACTATCGTTTTTTTAACAACAACAAATATATATCTTAATAGTTTTTAAATAAACTTTTAATTTGTGTTTTCATAATTTTTTTTTATTATTTTTGAAATTTTTACAAAATTTTATTTCTTTTGAGACCCAACATGATATTATTATTATCATTTTTTATTAAAACACCCTCTGTAAACATGTTTACAAGGTGAAAATACATTAAAATAGTTTAAGATATAAAAAGATGAAATTTCAATTTTCACTTTCTTCTTCTCCTGAATTAGGTTTTTCATATTAAGTTTTTGAATCTTACTTAACTCCTTTATGTCATCTAAAAATTATTACTTTACTGAACAATAATTAAGCCGAAAATTTATAATTTTAAAAGTTACTTTATTATTTAATAGACGAATAAATAGGTTTATTTTATTTTGTTGTATGTAACTTGATATATCACGAACTTTAAATAGAGAGTTTATATAGTTTTTGCTATACTTGGAGACATTGAAAAATGACTTAACTGCATTTCTTCCAAGTTATTTAAGTCTTTGCATTGTAAACTCTCTATTTTCACATAGTTCCAGACCATACGTTAGCGTCGGAACTGCTAAAGCTGTATATAGTTGGATAATTAAAGATGGATTTACAAACCGGATACCAGATTGAATCAGAGTTTGCACTGTTGTTTGAAATTTTGATATCCTATTAGTAATATCTGTTCTATTGAGTGAGGCAAATAAAGACTTTTGTGTATCCCAAGTAAAGCCAAAATGGTTAAGTTTTTCATTTGCAATTATTTGATGGTCGTTTACGGTTATCTTGTAATTAGTTAATTGCCTTTTTCCAGAAAGCAGTAGTTCCGTTTTGACAGCACTAAGCTTTATGCTGTTTAAATTATTGTAAGTATTACACGTTGTAATCATCCTTTCAAGACCAGATAAAGTAGAGCTAAAAAGAATGATGTCATCAGCATAAGCAACAACACCTGTAAAGTTTCCATGTATAGAGGTACCAACAACGTTATCATTTTTTATAATTTTGAGTAACTTTTCGGTGTATACGTTATACAGAAAAGGAGAATCGATCCTTGTCTCACTCCTTGCTTAAGAGCAAATGAAACTGATTCGGAGCCTAGGTAAGAGACAGATGCACTACTGTTGTGGTATAAAGAGTATATTGTGTTAACTATTTGGAGAGGTAAGTTTTTATCAAAATAAAGTTTATCGAAGAGAATGTTCCAGTTGCAGCTGTCAAAACCTTTTCCAGCATCTAGCGAACGTAAAAAAATTGGCGAATTGTGGTTGTTGTAATGTTGAATTGTTTCACTTATAACAAATTCAGCATGCAAGGTCGAACTCTTATTGTAAAAACCAAATTGAAGGGGATGTGTGTCTTATCTCAGGACTGATGACTAAGATAAGGTATTCTAAAAATTTTGTAAATATTGAAATAATACTGATACCTCGGTAGTTATTTGGGTCGGTAAGTGATTTTTTATACAATTTTACTTGCGGTATAATAGTTGACGTTGACATAGATGTTGGGGTTCATCCATGATTAATTAAGAAGTGAAAGAGTTTTCTTATCCATTGTGTTAGAACATCACATTGGGCATATTTTAAATGTTCTGCAGATATATTGAAGTGATCTTAGTATTTATTTAATTTTAGACAAGATTTAGACAATAGCGACTTTTATATTTTCATCAGTAATAACTATTTCATCGGGATTTTCACAAGGTGGAACTTGACAATAAGTAGAACACAGATTTAATTTTAAGATTTATAATACTTTTAAAGAACTTTTTCTTTTAATACGAGGGACCCGTCTGATGTTTAAGGGTCTTGTGCGACTCCTAAAAATTTTTTAATGTAGTATTAATTTTTTACAATACATTTAGGGGGTGTCATCAAACATTTTCAAAAAATATTGTTTTTAGAACCACCCTACTATGTAAGCGAAAGGATTTGAATCCACACGAAGCACTTCAACTACTTTGGCATGTTTTATCATTTTTTTAAAACTTTTTAATAGACCAAAGACTTATTAAACTTTATAAAACGGCATATAAATGCCGTTTTATAAAGTTTAATAAGTCAAATTTTTAAATAAAAGTAAATCTGTAAAATTTGATATAATTAACAGTACGTATTGCACTTTCTAACATCGTGTGCAATTCCTGTCCGCTTTCTCTATGCTATCTTTCTAACACAACTACTTCTGTCTCTCACTCTAAAATACCTTTGTTCTTCCCAAACTCACTTTACTCTTGGACCGTAGAGCAGGTTATGACGCTCTACGGTCCAAGAGTAAAGTGAGAGCAGGTTATGACGTTGTTCGGCCACGCAGATAAAGATATTTACATTAACAGTTCTAAATTTTTTATGCCCACATAAAACACCGTAGTTGTTTAGAATACCGTACAAATTTAGAAGACCAGTGCGGGATTAAGACTTTTAGGGTCGGTCGAAATTCTTGATCAGGTGAGCATTTTTTGTATTAAGTGACAAAAAAAACCATTCCAATCTAAAGTATCCTCTTAAAAGGTGAGCGGCTCCTACATCTGCGGGACTTGGGGTTATAGCTTTCCCTCTTTAGTTTTTAAATAATAAAAATAATTACGTAAAAAACTTGTAAAAAAGAACTAATAATTATGCCATTTATGCCTTTCAAAGAGTTTTTTTTTTTAGTTTTATTCAAATATTGATTTAGGTGCCTCAAGAAGTCATTACAATCTTATCACAGAGTACCGCGGAAGAGCATTTAATAGGAAGTTCACGCCTCCTTCTCAATCAAAGTTGCAAAACTTACCCATAGGTGGCGTTTGAACCACGAATTTTACGTTTCTGAGGCAAGTACTCTACCACTGCGTCACGGCTGCGTAAAGTTTACTCTTTTTATATTTCCCATGAGCATATGCGTCTTCTGCTTAATGCCATGTTTAATTTAGTCTGAATTCCAAACCTTTTGAATTTTGTGATTGAATATTTTTGAGACGGCTTGATTCAAAAAATTGTTTTTATAACCAAAACATGACCCGGAAATAGAGAGGGCTTTAATCATAGGAAGAAATCTGTTTTGATATTTTTAAACTTTACAGGGAAGAAATCCCTAAAACCGCGCACACTAAGTGTTGCCACAAACTAAATGTTAATTACTTGAAGTTTTACTTTTTTGCATTACTGTTAAACAAGATCCTCTCAAAGTTGTTGTAGATTATAAGTAAATTTATTTCTTTATTAAATATAGATTACTTTTAATTTACTTTACAAATTATATAAAATGTAAACTTATGCAGTCAGGGACGCCGAGGGGCAAAAGAGGTATTCCTACGTCATAATAATAGGGGCGCCAGAAAACAAAAGATAAATAAAAACATGAGAATTTATTTATAATAAAGTAAAAAAATTGTGTTTATAGATGAGGTATAAACTAAATTTACTTGGTGATGTGAATAACAAATAACTATGCTTTTATTTTTATTATCAAAGAAATACAGTTTCAAATAATTCATCTCCTTTCTTGATGCCTGGGGATTAACCAAAAAATAAAAATGGACTCGTTTTTTATGTCAACGATTCTAAAGTAGACGCTAGGTCTTATCTAAACAAAAAATTTTACTGATAAATGTCATAAGCGCTTTTATGATTATTCTGAAAAAAGGTTTAAGATTTTAAATATCAAATTTAAAAAATTAACTAACTTTATTTGCTAAGGTTCAACAACTCCAAAAGAGTGTTAAAATCTCAACGCAAATTAAATGATACGCCTACTCCCAAATAGGCAAACAAAGTCAAGACTTATAACTACAAGCTGACGACTCTCACCAATACCGCAAACTGAAGCAGAGAATTGTCATAGATAAGATTATGAAACACTGTGCATAATTTAATATCAAAAACTCATCATGAATTTTTACATCACAAAAGCTGCCTTACAAAACTTATTGAATTCCGTAACATTATAACGGAAGCAGTACTTCGTGAATACCTGGTTGACACACGTGTCCAAAAACAAAAACAAAAATTTTACCGACTTTGCCAAATGTATTCAACACAGTGTCACACAACAATTTTCTTATAAGATTTATGTCTATGGCCAGCTATTAAACTGGATCACAATTTGACTTGCTAATAGACAGCAATGAGTAATAACTGGTGAATAAACGTCCGAGTAGAAAAGAGTTACGAGTGACATCCCTCAAAGATCAGTTCTTAAACCACTGCAATTCGTATTCTTTATTAATAACTTACCAGACTGTAGTTATAACCATACTGTATTTATAACCAAACTATACTCCGATGATGGCAAGATCATATAAGTTAATGATGCCAATCAATTTTCCTTTGATTATCAAAAGCTGCCTTTGACATTGCAGCGCTGTAAATTGGTCTAACAACTGCTTTGTGAATTTCAACGTCAAAAGTGCAAAGTATTGCAAGTTGGTTGACAGAGAAAGCTAATTAATAATACCATGGTTGATATTTACGATAACGGACGCAATCTAGTTCCAACATTCATTGAGCGTGACTTTGGAGTATCAATATCCAACAACCTCGAAGTAGTTAGCAATAGTACAAGCAACAGCCTGGGTTGGCAATCAAATGCTTAGTTGTCTCAAGAAGTCATTTTGGTGTCGGAGCTTTTTAGCTATGAAAGAAATATATCAGCTGTACAGCTGAGTTTTTTATTTTGTTAATTGCTCTACTCAAGCGTGTCCAACAACGTGCAATATCGTTAATTGAATATTTTAGTTAGAATCAAAAACAAAAAAAATACTCGGTCTAATTATACTCAAATAACATAGCGACCTTATATTGTAATACAAAATTGCTTATCATTTACAAATAAAATTGGGATTTTAAAATCTGTTTCTTTAAGATTCTCATTCTTTTGGATGAAAAATCAAGAACCGCAAAAAATTAAAGCTTGTTAAAAAGACAACTTTACGGAAGATATTTGTCTTAATAGTTTAAAGGTCTTCATTTTTCACTTGGGGAAAACTTTGGGCTTTCTCAAGCAAGTATATTCATAGGGTCTATGATCTATTTTTTAATCTATATGTATTTTAATTCGAATTTTTTAACGCAATACCAGTTTCTATTTTCCAATCTATATGCGATCTTAATTCGAATTTTTTAACGCATTATCAGTACCTATTGCAGAAGGTGAACAACATTTAAATAAACTAAAATTAATTTCAAAAAATGATTGTACTCTCAAGATCCTAATAAACGTCCACCCACCCTAAGTTTATTAAGACGTTTATTAATTTTTACTTGTTATCAACAAAAAAATTATATATCTCAAAAGGAAAAAAAACAAATAAGTGAAAATCGGCCTTAAAAATTTGAAAATAATTTTCAGTCACCGATAAAAACTTTTAGTTTATTTCTCAACAAAGAACTTTTAGTTTATTTCTCAACAAAGCTTTGGTTTTAATTATAGGATTTAATATGCTGAATATAAGTTTTATACTTTGAAAAAGTATAAAACTTATATCAGCATAATAAATCCTATTAAATTATGATTAAACAGCCTAACCCTACCTAACAGCTGTTAGAAAATGCGCTTTTGACCGTAAGTCAAAAGCGCATTTGACTTGAACATGCATAATTTGCATGCCGAATAAACGGGGGAGGGGGGCATTGAACATATCCCTTCCCCCCCCCCTGTTTATTAAACCCCCCCTCCTCTCCAGTTTATTAGATTTTGACTAAAATTCCCACTCAACCGTTTATTCCCTCCCCTCCCCCTCGTTGTATTCGGCACTCGAGAGTAGGGCCACTATAGAAGAAGAGTGTCTATCAGACATACACGTTTAAACTGAATTTGATAAAACTCTCTTGTAAGATGAAGTAATAATAATAATGATTTTTGCCAGTAAAAAGAAAGAAAAGAGTGTTTTCAGTATTAATTTTAAAGAATCTGTTTATTAGGATAGAGCGGGGCTAGTTAAGCAATTTTTAACGGTGCGTCAAATTTACATAATTTTTATTCACAATTTGAAATATAATTTAACCCGCTAAAAATTTGTTAAGAAAAAAGTATACTTTTTGATTTTTTTAAAAAGATAATGCCTAAAGTTTGCGGAGCTGCTCAACCTGCCCCAGCGGGGTAGGTTGAGCAATAGTGTAGGGTAAGTGGAGCAATCAACAAATGAATGAATATGCATGATACAAAACTAGGGTGAATCATCAATAAAACTCTAACGACGTAAGCGTGTGCTTAATTTATAAACTTTTTATTATTGTTATTATTATTATCATTATTATGTATTTCACCGTTGAAAAAAGTCTACAAGTTTGTGCAATACAATATATAGTACATGGCTGGGGCAAGAAGAAGACTAGTTTAGTCTTATCACCAAACCCCTGTAAATAAAACTGACAATATTAAAAATACAAAGCAAAGTAACTGGTTAAATAAACGTTAAATAAAATTTTGCGTTAAAATAAAATAACGCTAAATAAAATGTAACGTTAAGTAAAAATAAAATAAAATACATTTCACGCTATGTTAGAGTGTAATATATCCAAAAGTATAAGAACATTTTATTAATTAAATTCATTTTTTCTAACTGGTTTTAGATTTATAAACCTTTTGAATTTAGATCATAAAATAACAGATGATACACGAATAACAAACAAAACAAAAAACAATCATTTTTAAAAACATTTTTAGTAACTTAATATGTCTTTTTTATATGTTTTTTTATATATTTTTTATTAAAAATTAATAAAAATTGAATGAGCATCATAATGTACAATTTGTACATTATGATGTTCTTATTTTCTTTTTTTAAAAAAAAAAAAAAAAAAAAAAAACACTATAATGTACAAATTGACTAACAGTATATACAGAATATATATTTAAAGCATATTTATAAAGAAATAAAATAAATAGACAAACGTGATTACTCCTAGTCAAAGAATTCAGAAAAATTTTAATTCGTTGTCATTTATTAAAAGCTTTTGCTTAAGTTTGTTTTTACAATGTTTAATAGAAGAAATAGTTTTTAACTCATTATTCAATAATGTGTTCCTAGTTCAGGACCTCTGTTTGCAATTGAAAACTTAGTAACAGAGTAATAGGTTTTATGTTGAATTTAATTGTTTTCTGAAAATCGTTTTGGGTATAGATGATTTATTTTTTCCAAAAATGAGTCAAATAAAATAGGTGATATTTTTTTAACTTTGAACATAAAAATAAGAATTTGATAAAAATTTTGTTGAAATACGTTGAGAATATTAAATTTAATGAATAAAGGTTTAGTGTGTGAGAAACGATCTAAATTTCCAATAATTCTTCCAGCATGCTTTTGTTTAATTAATAGTTTATTTATTTTAGTTGCATTAATTCTACACCAGACAACGTTTGCATAACTTAGGAAGCTATGAATAAATGAAATATAAATGTATTTTAAACAGGTTTGATTTAATAAAAGCTTAGCTTTGTAAAGTAGAAGAATATTTTTCGAAATTTTATTGTGAATTATATTTATGTGCTCCTTCCAACTCACATTTTCATCAATAACAACACCAAGAAATAACAATGAACGCTCTCTTACTATACAAGAGTTAATTACTACTAAGTTTGGAAGATTTAATGGGATAAGTCTCTTTTCATGAAGACGATGGAAGAAAGTATATTTTGTTTTTTTTATGTTTATGGATAATTTATTTGCTATAAACCATTCGCTTAGTTTTGCAAGCTCTTTGTTTTCTGTTTCAAATAAAGAATTAATATCCTTATCAGAATAAAATAAGTTGATATCGTCTGCAAATAGGATTGAATTTAAGATACTTGAAAATTTATTCAAGTCGTTTATATAAATGAGGAACAAAAGGGGCCCGAAAGTTGATCCTTGCTGTACGCCGCAAGAAATTGTTGCTAAATCCGTTTTACTATCATTAAATCCTGTTTGTTAGATAGGGTAAACTGGGGTAAAGTGAACTAGGGGTAAAGTGAACTATTTTTTTAAACTAAAAAGTTATCATGTTTAAAAAACTTTTTGTTAAGTAATTTAGCATTATTTTTGCTTAATACAACATTTTGAAATTTTTTAAATAAAAAAATTAATAAAATATAGCCTTTGTTTTGATGTAATAGCCATTTTAAAAAGCGAGTTTGGCGGAAGTTTTAAAATTACGATCTCAAACTTTGCTATGGGTTTTAGTAAATTCATGATTTGTTGTTATTAATGCAAACATCAGTTATATAATTTATATACATTTTAAAGATAATATAATGCTGTTAAAAAAAAATTGTAGTTTTTATTATAATATAAAAAAGCTAAGCTTTTAGTTTGTAAATCAATTTAGTTCACTTTACCCCTTATTTTTCTCCCTATTGGGGGTAAAGTGAACTAGTCTTTTTCTTATGTTTTTTCATCAAATATTTTTAGTAGAACTGAATATATAAATTGTAATTACTTAACTAAATTGTTTACTGTTAAAATAAGTTGTTTTTTTTTTAAATATTCTTAAAATTATTTTCAGAAATATAATAAATTGAAATAATGCCAAGAAACTACATTAAGAAAAAAGAATCTCGAAGAAAAACATATGCACCTAATTTGTTGCAAAATGCCATTTCGAAAGTTAAAAATAAAGAAATGACTTCGTATGCTGCATCAAAAGAATATGGTGTTCCAAGAAGTAAAATTGCAAGACATCTTCTAGGCATAAAATGCTCAAAAGTTGGTGAAGGGCGACCAAACCGATTATCTGCTGATGCTGAAAAAGATCTTGTTTCACTTTTATCTGCATTTTCTGATTTTGGATTTGGATTAGATAAAAAGCAATTTATGAAACTTGTTCAAACGTATATTGAATTAAACGGATTTCAGAAAAAATTTGTTAATGGTGTTGCTGGTGATCAGTGGTTTTGTAATTTTTTAAATCGTTGGCAGAAAGAAATATCTATAAGAACTCCAGAGCTTTTGACATTAACAAGAGCCTTAGCTTGTAATAAAACTGTAATTGATGCTTGGTTTTTATTACTTAAAGCAACATTGGAAAAATGTGACATTATGAATAGATCTGCCCAAATACTAAACTGCGATGAAAGTGGGTTTTGCACTAACCCAATAAATAAAAAAATTATTTGCAAAAGAGGTATTAAAAACCCTGTATCTATTGCTCCTGGATCAGGAAAAGAACAGTTTACTGTACTAGCAACAATATCAGCTGCAGGAAGAAATTTTCCTCCATTTATTTTATTTGCTGGGAAGAATTTGTATAAATAGGTACGCGCACTGAAATTTTTAAATTAATCATATAGTGCAATGTTATATATCATTAGAAAGGCCTTTAATACAGTATTTTAAAGGTGAAAAAATTATTAAAAACGAACAATTCTAAAAAAAGTTATAACGTTTTTAGTACCAAATTTAAGATATATGGAATTGTTGAAGAAACTGTGGTCAAAATAATTATTTTTTTCACTTAAATTATTATAACTTTGTCAATTTTTATCCAAATATCTATATCTTGGTATCAAAAGATAGGTGCACTAATGAGCTACAAGTTCATATAGGTGCCTGGACGTAGGGTGTATCTTGGGAGCCAGAGGGGGTAATGAAACACCATCTAACCCTTAAGAAAATACAAGTTTTTGTCAAAAATAAGCACTTTTTTAATGTAATTGTTAGATTTATGCATAAAATATTGCCATAACTTGATTCCAGAACACTGCCAAACAAAATAAGGTGATCTTAGAGTTGGCCGTAGATGTGGTTATGATGTTATAACACCCTAATACAATAATCATACATTCTAATAAATAATTTAATCTTTATTACAGTAATTAAATATTTTGTTAAAAAGTAAAAATATATTTTTTTACTATACAACATACATTAGTGATGTGCACACTAACTTTAGGGAAGGGCGTATGTCGCACCGCCCCTAAATTTTGTTTACATATCATGATGATATGTAAACAAAGATTAATGTTTTAAAACTTATAACTTTTTTAAATAACAAAACAATAATGATAAGTTTAAAAACCTTAATCTTTGTTTACTTCATGATGATGTAAACAAACTTTGTTCTTATCATGAAAAAGAAATTAACTTACTTTTTGAAGTCTTCTTTGTTATGACTTTTACCATTTTTTATTTATTAAAATAATCTAATATTAAAAATTAAATAATACAATGTAGTAAGAATTTTTTTGTTTACCATTCGCCACCCCCCCTATCCTCCCCGTATTTCTCTTGCCGATAAAACAAAAACAAAAACAAAAAAAACTGAATTTAGGTACCAAAAGTCCTACACTTCTTATACTATCTGCTCCCTAATATTTTTGGCTGAAATTTGGCATGTACAAAGAAAATGCATGCAAAAAAGTTCCTGAATAACAAAAAAAGCGGAAACTTCATTCCTTCGATAAGAACTTAATGTGAGAACATCAATGAAATTTTCACGAAAGTTTTTAGCAAAACTAACCATAAAAAAGTTTAGTGGTTATAAATAAAAGTACTATAAAAATCAAGCCTAACCTTTCTTCTTTCCAAATATACTTTTTGTTTATATATGTTTCTAAAAAAAAACACCACTAAAAACGTTAGTCTAACCCTACTTCAAAAAAGCAGTATATTTAAAAAAGCACCTCGTTACATATCTGCTCCCTAATATTTTTCGTTGAAATTTGGCACATAAATAGAAAATACATGTATAAAGGTGGCTGAACAATCAAAAAAGCGGAAACTTCATGCCTTCGACTACAAATTTATGTGAAAACATCAACCAAATATTCAGGAGCAAAATAATCCGTTAAAAAGTTTAGTACCATACATAAAAGTTTAAAAAAAATAAAGATCAGCTTCTCTTCTTTCCAAAAAGTATCTATGTGTATATATGTTTCTAAAAAGAAACTCCACAAAACTACGTCTACCCCACGCTGCCTAAAAAAAAGTGAAAAAAACGAGTCACAAGATTTTATCACAAAAATCGGTTCAGTAAATGACGTAAATGCGCGTACCTAGTATAAAGAGTGGATGACTGGTGGACCAAATGGTTCCTTATATGGGGTGACAAAAAACGGTTGGATGGAAACAGAAGTTTTCACTGAATACTTTAACCATCTTGTTTTATGGTTGAAAGACACACCCAAGCCTGTTTTGCTTATCTTTGATGGTCACATTAGTCATATTTCTTTAGAAACTGTTAAAAAAACAGTTGAAAATCATATAACTATTTTGTGTTTGCCAGCACACTGTTCGCATTTGTTTCAGCCACTTGATGTAAGAGTCTTTCGCCAAGTTAAACATGTATGGCGTGAAATTCTGGCCAATTGGTATACCGAGTCAAGGCTGAAGGTGGTTGGGAAATCTGTTTTTCCATCTTTATTAAAAAAACTTTATGATACCTCCTTTAAGCCAGCTCATTTAGTACAATCCTTTGCCAAAACTGGAATTTTTCCCTTTGATCCATCTGCTATAGCATCTGACAAGTTAAATCCTTCTGAAATCTATGAACACCCTTTTTCTCAGAAAACAAATAACTATAATAATAACGTCCCTCAAAACATCGTTTTAGACACCAATGTCAATGATCAGAACGATACTTGTGAAAATTTTTCTATTGAATCAACAAATAAATACAATTCACAAAAAACTATAATATCAGTAGGAAAAGACTTAAACAATGAAAAAATAAATCAACTATCAATATCAAATGTAGATTGTTCTACTGGAAATAAAATCATTAGAGAAATAGTGAAAGAACAGTTAATGGCCACAAAGGGTGATGGTCGTTCATACAACAAACGACCTACAAAAAAAATAAAAAGACACTATGGAGGTGAGTGTCTTACATCAGAAGATGCATTTAAAAGATTAAATGATGAAGAAAACGAATGCTTTAAAAGAAAGATCAAGCAGCAAGGCAAAATACAAAATAAAAAAACTAATTTATTAGAAATAACAAACACAAAAGAGTTAAAGATGAAGTAGTTCACTTTACCCCAATGTGGGGGTAAAGTGAACTAGTGGACATGTTTTTTTTGAATATATATTTAATATTGTAAAAGTAGCTTTTAATCTTAGTATTTTGTTTTATATTGTACCTAATACTTTAAATGGTATAAATTTTGAAAACTGCAAAATGTTTTGGCTTTTATTTTGAAAATATTTCCTTTAAATATCAAAAACAGTTCACTTTACCCCAGTTTACCCTAACTTTTAAACTAAGCTAAGTTATAATTTAAGATGCCATAATTTTTTAAGTTTGTGGAGGAGAATATTGTGATTCACCGTATCAAAAGTATTTATTTTATACACTTTAATGACGTAAACACGAGAAGAGAAAAAATTAAATAATAAGAAAGCGTCATAAAATAAAAAAGTATTATTTTAAACAATTATCTTGAACTTTGGAGACAGATTTAAAAATTACTATTCTTAAAAACATATTTAAACAATGTATCTTAAATTATTTTTTCTCAAAGTTGTTTCTTTGAGTTCAAAAGATCAGTTTTAACTATTTTTTTCAAAGCTGCTCAACTTACTAAACTAAGTGACACATTAAATTTTAAAGAAAACACTAAGGCTTATGAAAAAACAGGTAGTTTTAAATGAAAGTCCTATAAATTGTTAAAATATCAACACTTAAGTGATTTCAGGTAAAAAAAAAAAAAAAATATAAGCATTTAATCAAAAAATAGCAAATTTTTTTTTTGGTGACTTTTTTGGTCGAAAAAAGAAAACGTGCCCGTGTATTTTACTCAACTGGGTTCTAACAATATTTTGTTGCGCATTGTGTTATCATTTTAATTCCCTAACGCGACGTCCGTAAGACGACTCACAGATGTCCAGACATCCGTAAGACGTCCAACGTCCACCGGACAATGCATGCCCACTTGGTAATGATTAATGTCAGGAAATTTAATTTAGTTTTTGAATTTACAGAGTCATTGAATTTAAGATTAACTTGAATTAATTACATTGTTGTTTAGTTGATGTAGTGCTTTAAATGATTTCATTTTATTTTTTCATAAATGATTTTATTTTAATATTTCTCAAAAGCTAGTGTTGCAATAAAAAATTTATTTTCTTAAATCGAACAAATTGCTCTTTAACGATGCCATCTTGAAAAACATAGCAAGCGCTAACGCACAATTGCTCATTGTAATCACAACCAGTGATTTCATCAACCAAAACAGATAAGAACTGAGTATAACCTCACTCACAATCTGCTTAAAAATTAGTTTTCCGTAAATGTTATTTCGCACATTATGGGTAGTTTTAGATACATATGTTGCATTTTATTTTATTTTTTACAAAATATAACTGTAGTTTTATAAGATATAATTGAATTTTTTTAAAAATATATCAAAACTGTGTTTTGGATGCCAGTTTTTCATTTCATTTGAAAAAGAACCCATTCAACTGCTGATGTCAATAATAAGAATTTTATATAAGCTGTAATAATTAAATATTATTTTAACATTTAACAAGCTGTTTACGTTGTTATCTAAACTCAGCGTAAATTTCTAAAATAAAAAAGTTACTAGCGTCAAACTGTATTTCCTAATATTTTTTCAATAATATATAATATACTAAGTGGCGTAGCTATATTTAGCATATATTTTTTATTTTATCCAGCCCTAAATATATATATATATATATATATATATATATATATATATATATATATATATATATATATATATATATATATATATACATATATATATATATATATATATATATATGTATATATATATATATATATATATATATATATATATATATATATATATATATATATATATATATATATATGTATATATATATATATATATATATATATATATATATATATATATATATATATATATATATATTATTTACAGAATGTAAGGGGTTTGGTGATAAAACAATCATACGTCTCAGTTCCGATGAAAAATATTATTGCGTCATTAAAAAAAGCGTTCAGTCTCTATTTCATGCTTCTTTATAATGCTCTTATCAAGGCAAAATAATTGTTGACCTTTTTCATTTGTATATAACCTCTGAGATGTAAATCTACTTAAGAGCTATTTGTTTAAAACTTACGTTTTTTAAAAACTTACATTAATGAATAATTTCTTATGCATTGTTTTAAAAAGTTTAATCGGTCAATCCCTAATCCAAATCTGTTTTGCAAGTTATTTTTTTCTCAATAAACATACTGGCGAAAGAGCTATAACGATGTTGTCATATGCTGCATCTTAAATATGTTTTCATCAATTTGTCTTTGTAAAAACTTGTTTTCTTTATTCATTACTTTACTTAGTCTACATTACTCTAAATACCGAAATATCCACAAATAAAGTAGTGGCAAGCGAGGCTGAGTCAGCCTCGCTTGCTAGATTTGATAAGAATATCTTCATATGTTTATCATTTTTTGAACTTATACTGATTTGTCTTCCTCACTCCGCCTTTTCACACTAGGTTTTCACACTAGGTTTTCACACTAGGTTTTCACACTAGGTTTTCACACTAGGTTTTCACACTAGGTTTTCACAATAATTTTGTTGTCGAATAGATTGGCATTCTGAAATTCATGATCACATAACGATTTTATGTCTTCTGAATTGCCTGCATTTATTATTTCAAGTTTTCTGTTTTTCAGCAATTTCTCTATTAATTAAATCGAGATTTCTTTCATTCAATTTTCAATCCTTTTTTGTATCTTAAACATTGACTCCACCGATGTACGTCTCTACCAATGTACATTTTACGTATAGTTTTTGATCATGCAAGAACTTTAAATGCATTTTTAGACTTTTTTTTCTATTGAACATTTACAATCTATTACTACATCTTCAGCAATATTATCTACAAGGAGTTAGTAATTACAAGAACAAATGTCATATAATGAAGGAAAAATTTTAATAAATTTTGTAACTGCATTGTACTTGGTTTTGATCGGAATAAACTACCTCTGTTTTTTTATGACAGTGAGCCTGTAATCAATTTTTAGGATGAGCGGGAGGAGAGAATGCAGTGTTCAATAGTTCCAATACATCATAAGTATTTTTAGCTTTTCTTAAAATGTAAAAATATCGGATAAAAAAATTAACTTGATTAATTTTAGGCCGCTTATTCCTTCGTGAAACAGCAGGAAAACTAAGTATATAGTGCCCGTTTTCTTTTGCGGCTTTAATACCTGATGTTGAAAGTTGATTTAAAAAATTGCTTTGGTTAATTTTTGCTTCAGTTAAATCAGTTTTCATCAAATAATTTACACTAAAAAAATAAAAGAAATATAAACGAGGCATTCCAAAACTATGTTCATCGTTCAATGCATCAATTATTCGTTCATCATTTGCTTAAATAAGATATGTATCGAAAAACAATAAATTTCTACTAATAAAGATACAACAAATAAAAATTGCAACGTAACAAAATAAATATTGCAAAGTGGCAAAATAAATATTGCAACGTAGCAAAATTACAAAAAAAAAAAAAAACAAAAAAAAACAAGATTTACTGCATTAATAGAATAAAATATTTACAGAAAATGCAGCTAATAAATAAACAAACGAGTTTCAAAAAAAATGTCAAGTTATCACTTTCCAGATAAAAAAAATTCTATAAAAGTACTGTTAGACATGACAATAATACAACCTTAAATTAAAATAATACAATCTTAAATAAAAAATTAAAACGGTTGCGGTTTTTTTGCACGAATTCCTTTCACTTATATATATTATGTGTGTGTATATTAATATATAGAGTGAAAACAGTTTTGCACCAATTACTTTCACTTATATATATATATATATATATATATATATATATTATATATATATATATATATATATATATATATATATATATATATATATATATATATATATATATATTATGTGTGTGTATATTAATATATAGAGAGTGAAAACAGTTTTTATCATTAAATTAAAGCAACACTTGATAAAAAAAAAAAGTTCCAACCATTATTGGATAAAAAAATATTTTTGCGATTTACATTATAAAAAACATTTTGATAAAAAATATATTTGCGAATCACATTTGTATTTTACTATAAAAAAATTTGTGATCAAGACCTATTAGACCAGTCTTTAACCACCCCTGATATTTTAACCAAGTAAAGATTTAAAAATTTTCTTATTAAATTAAAAAAAAGACTTTATTTTGGAAGAACTTTTTTTTCTTCAAAAGAATGTATTTATTTATTGATGCCGTTGAAGTCGAAGAGGTTATTTGTGCAGCTTCTAATGCTGTTTTTGATTATTATTTAATTAAGCTACCCATGGCAGTCTAGAACTTCATACTTAAGGAAGTGATAATAATAATGGTAAGTAGTAACATTACAAAAACACTTTTTCGCCATAGCAATAATTCATAAAATGAGTATTAAATAGCATGCTCACTTGAATACCACGCTATAACTGGTTAAAAAATGGAATGTACATCAACTAAAGTTTCTTAATGATATTGTTTATTTGTAATAAAGCCTTTATACATTCTGAAGACTTTTATGTTTTGTAAAAATGGTTATCGAAAAAGGCTTACTGGCTGAGAAATTAAAGGAATCAACTAAAAACAAAGGTCAATTTTTGATTATTTATTTGTAATAGTTCTAGAAAACCTTTATTGTGATTTTTGAATATTTTTAAAGAAATGGTATAATTTTTTCATTTGTACTTTTTTTTCTGTGTTTTTTTCTTGAAGAATCTGAAAAAGTAAATTCAGAAGAAAACTTTGAAAACAAAAATGATGAAAAAACTACGTAAGTTATTCTAAATACTACTTTGTTTATTAAGTATCTATTCAATTGTTATATATCTATTTATTAGGTTTTGGCATTAAAATTAGACAATAATTAATATTTTTTATAGTAATATTACATATTATAATAATTTGATATGAGCATGCGCATTTATATATTGCAGAATAATAAAATTATTTTTATTCTTACAGAAACTAATTCTCTATAATTTTCATTAATTTTAAAAATCAATTAAAAGATAATCTTTGAAAATTGTAATATGCATAGCCTAAGCAAGGTGGTCGAAACAAAGATAAGATAAAAAGCCATTACTAAAAATAGAACCCTACAGCAAATCTCTGGAACAAAGATAAAAACCTTAACCGCGAACAAATGCGACTTTGAATGGGATACGGAAGCTAATGGAAAACCAGTTTTAATCTTAAACATTCCAAGTCTAGTTTAAATGGAAGAGTAAGTTTTAAATTTTGACTAGAAAACTATCGAAACTGCTCCTGCATAAAGTTGATGTTGCAATTGGAAAAATGTAATATAATAACAAACCCTAGATCTTCCATCAAAAAATATTGAAATAATTTAATTAAATTAAATATTAAAATAATAATTAAATTAATTTCCCTGCGACAACTTTTAAACTCAAATTAACATGAGCAATTTTTTTATTTATTGAATATTAAAGTAATCTTATTTTGTAAAACTAAACTGCAGCTTTCTCGAGTAAACATAACACTAAACTATGTTTTCTTCTCTTAAATGGGCATCATGTTAAAATACTTTAGCTCAATGAAAGCTAAAGTATTTTAACATGATGCCCATTTAATGTTCAATAATGCTTAGTAAACTTGAATAAAATTATACTTTTAGGTTGTGCAAATGAGAGTGAGGTCAAGGAAGTGAGATTAAGAATGTTTAAGTGAAAGCGTTTTTTTAAAAGGGTTTGTTTATTCTAAAACAAAAGTTATATTTTCAAAACTTGTTTTAATTGGACGTAGTAAAAATGATCTGTTTTAGTTTTATTAACCATTTTTGTTTGAGCAACATATTTTAAAAAGTTTATGAATCAGAGCAGTATAATGCTATACGACAATTGATCTTCTGTAAAACTAAGTTCTTGGTATTAAAGTTCTGGATGTCTTGCCAGGTTTAATTACTAAATCTAAGAAAACATTTCATTTTCTAAGGTTGATACACTAAACTAAATGACTTCTGAGAGTTTTTTGATCAGAAAATCTTAAGTTTAGAATCTTCTAAAAACAAACACCCCTGCCTAGATTTTAATTTAGTATATCAAAAAATACATTCAAAGTTTATTGTTTATTTCTGAAGAAAAGATTATTCGTACTTTGATCATTTCTAATTTATTATTGTACCATTTTCTCTGAATGAGTTTTTTTTTTTTTTAAACTCAGTTTTTAGGGAATAGTATTGCATCATTTCGAAGTCCAAAATTTGAATATGCAAACTGAATGAGACAAGCTTCTTTACTGAAAACGCCACCTTGCAAATATGCAATTATAAAGCGATGACTAATTAGGGTCAGTCAAATTACAGAGTTATACTTTACACGGACTCCGTCCTCTACAATTTTATGGCGCAGTTTCTCTTCTATAATCTTAAATCAAAAAACCCAAATTTTTCCGCGTATTACATTTATTTTCATTATACATTTAAGACAAAACATAATTAGGAGGAGAGCTAAAAGAAAAAAATTTAACTATCAAATGATTATTAAAGCTATTTTATTTTATTTGTCAGTTATGATTTGCAGTAGCTTTGTTAATATTTTTCAGCTTTGTCTTTTGTTAACTGTATATATAATATATATATGTATAAATATGTGTGTATATATACACACATACACACACATATATACATACATACATTCATACATACATACATACATACATACATACATACATAAATACATACATACGTACATACATACATACATACATACATACATACATACATACATACATACATACATACATACATACATACATACATACATACATACATACATACATACATACATACATACATACATACATACATACATACATACATACATACACACATACATACATACATATATACACACACACACACACACACACACACACACACACACACACACACACACACACACACACACACATATATATATATATGTATATATATATATATATATATATATATATATATATATATATATATATATATATATATATATATATATATATATATATATATTTATATATATATTAGAAAAATATAACTAACATTATTATTTATATTTTTTAACTGTGTATTATAGAAATATAGCAGCAATTATGCATCTATTTAAAGCAAGTATTGGTACTGGGATACTGAGTCTTCCAGCTGCATTTAAAGATGGTGGAACAATTGTTGGTCCACTTGGTCTAATTTTGGTAGCTTTATTAACAGCACATTGCATGCAACTGTTAATTAACTGTTCACGCTTTATTTGTAAAAAGTAGGTTGTTAATTAACTGTTCACGCTTTGTTCGTGAAAGTTTATTTTGTGCTTTTTTCGAACTTGAAAAAAATATGAAAATTGTATTTTTTTTACTTGAGCAAAACATTTAAATATATGGGTTGCTGACCAATCAAAACTCGCTAAAATGCAGTAAAGAAAACGCTGTTTCTGTAGACATTGCTCAGGTATTCTAGGCATAACAGATAAGTGCTTAGACTGGATAGATACTAATCTGTATTATTCAATGCTATTTTAATCTTGTACAGATATGCAGTACAGATATGCTTATGTTACAAGCCAGGATATTGTACTTGATTAACTACTTTAAATATAAGACGTTTTTTAAGTCTCGTAACTAAATAGTACTGATAACATTTTTCACGCCAAAACTAATTAGTAGTTACTTGCGTACTGATAACGTTTTTCAAGTGTCCTAACTAAATATATTAGGTTATAATAAAATAATTACTAGTTTTGACTGTCATAACTAATTATTAGTACTTGTGTACAAATTAATTTAATTGCGTAACTACTAGTTTAGTTCCTACTAATTAGTTATAACAAAAACGTTAAAAAATGTTGTCAGTACGCAAGTTACTACTATATAATATAGTATAACATTTCCGTAGTGTTAATTATAAGCATCTTTCACATTTTCAAATTCCTAAAAATTTTTTGATAATATTCAAAATAAAACAAAACAAAAAAACTTTTACTATCGGGTGGACACGGAAAAATCCGTTCATCTTTAAATTGAGATTTCTCCAAAACCACAAATGCTTTTTATTTAATTTTTTTATTTAATTAAACCTTACTTCCTTATCTTAAATGGTGTTGATAAATTTTTGTTTACAAATTAATGATTTGCAAAATATTTTGGAAACAAGTTGAGGTGCGTAAAAAAGTTGCGCAAAAATCCATCGACTTCCTATCGCTTGATTGCTAATCGCACAAATGTCCCAAAATATACAGTCATAGATATTATAACAAGTTCAAGACTACTCAAAGCTTCGAAAAAAAACTTGGAAGTGGAAGAAAAAAAACTTTCCATAAATCCAAAAAGGTAAAGTCGATTTTACGTTCAATAGCAAGAAATCCAAATCAGTCACGCGAGATTTAGCAAGAAAATTTAAGACTTCTCGTTCTTATATCAAAAAAGTACCAAAAAATGCTGGAATTAAAGCATTTATACACCTAAGAGAAGCTTAAATTGTGAAATTAAAGGAATTCGACGCGCAAAGAAGTTGGTTAAAATAATGGCGGATAAAAATATGTGCATAATTGAAGACGTCGAAACGTATTGCAAGGCGGATTTTTCACAACTTCCTGGTCAACAGTTTTACTATGAAAACAAAGATAAACCTGTCGATGATCAATTTAAATATATTTGAGGAGAAAAATTGCATCCAAGTTCCTTGTGTGGCAAGCCATTTGTAGCTGTGGTATGCAGTCCTCTTGTTTTGTCACTAAAAAGACCTTGACTGCCAATCTCTACATCAAAGAATGCCTCCAAAAAAGACTTTTGCCTTTTATAAAAAAACACAAAAACCGATGTCTCTTTTGACTCGATCTTGCTGCCTCTCACTATTCTAAAAATGTTTTACAGTGGTGCAAAGATGATAATTTGAAAATTGTTCGTAAAAATGCGAATCCTCCAAATCGTCCTGAAGAGCGTAAGATTGAAGATTTTCAGGCAATTATTAAAGGAGTTCTTCGTAAGACAGGTGGACTAACAAATAATAAAAAGGACTTCCAAAAAAAGTGGATTAATGCCACCAGTATGGTGAAAAAAAAAAAAAAAATCTGTAAAATGATGGCATCAACCCGCCATAAAGTTCGATTTCTTGCCAAGCAACCCATCAAGCCCCTTAAAATTAAGTTGAAACTCTAATTTATGTAAACACATTTAATAATAAAAAAATTGAAATAAAAAACATTCATGGTTTTAGAGAAACTACAATTTAAAGTTGACCGGATTTTTCCGTGTCCACCCGATATAACAGTTGCGGTTCTACATTTAACGGATATTTACTTTAAAAATTACATTCTAAACGTCTTTTAAACGTTTTTCAAATGTCTTCTAAACGTTCTAAAGCTTAGAGCGTTTAGAAGACGCATTAAATATGTTTAAACGCAATCAGAACATAATTTTTTAAAAACAAATGCCCGTCGGATATAAATTACACTCGAATTTACGTTTCGGTCAATTACTAGGAAAAATATTTTGTTAATTTCTTTAACAATAAGACTGAGTCACTTGGGGTTTAGAGTGATTGGGGATTAAGGAATTGTTAATATGCAAGATTGATGACATTTTAATGAAAATTTTAGATTTCAATGTCAATACCTTTCATATGGTGAATTGGCAGAGTTATGTTGCAAACCTTACCTAGGGGATAAAAGTAGATCCGCAAAGTAAGTGCTTTTTATTCCAGGTTAGGTTTTGACTACTTTTTTATTTTTCTACATAAAAATTTAAATATTAATTTAAATAAAAACAAACTTAAATAAAATTTTTAATTTATAGAAATATTGTCGACATATCGTTAACAATCAATCAGTTAGGGATGTGTTCAATCTACATAGTTTTTGTTGCAAAGACAGTTGTTGAAATATCTGCAACTAAAATGATTATAGATGCTAGACTAATTATTTTAGTTTTAACTCCTTTCGCTGTTTTGTTTTCGTTTGTGCGCAGTTTAGAGAAAATTGCTTATATTTCTACAATGGCTAATGTGTTTTGTGTTTTTGGTCTTTTAATGATACTCCAGTTTCTTGGAAGAAATTTAAAGAACCCAGGAATCTACCCAATGTTTGGCGGGTTTGGCAGTCTTCCAACTTTTCTTAACATAGCACTTTTTGCTTTTGATGGAATTACTATTGTGAGTTTTGCCAATGTTCTTATTGTTGATATAGCATTAAAATTTATTTTTGAAGAGTTTTTTTGGTTTTGCATTTGGATTAGGCTCTTCCGCTTTATAATGAAGTAAAACATCCAGAAGATTTTCCTGGTGTAATCAATATTAGTACCGTGTTTGTTGCAGGATTTAGTGTCCTGATTGGATTTTTTGGGTATATTGCATTTGGTAATAATATATATGGAAGTGTTACTTTAAACTTACCAGATAATTGGTAATTACTTCTTTATTTTTTAATTTTTATAACTTTTGTATTCAGGTATGTGTGACCTTCTAATAACTGTAGTAACTACTAACAAATTAGCTAAGCTATGAAAACTGTGGCTCTATGGCTCTGATTAAAACCCATTTCAAAAAAAAATCTGTAAAAAGAAACTACTAACAAATTATTAAAGTTACTAAAAATAACTTATTTATGATGACATAACTATTCGAATAAATACTATTTTCCACGGAAACTAACTTGGTTCTATTTTTATAGGTTTTACAATATTGTAAAGTGTGCCTATGCTGTTGGAACATTTTTTTCAATTTTTATTAAATTTTATGTTCCGATGCAAATAATGCTTCCATTTCTTCTATCGAAGTTTAATGAAAAAAAAGTAAATAAACTGGATTATCTATTAAGAGCAGTTTTGGTGGTGATCACATGTAAGTCACAAATTATTTAATTTTATTTTAGAATTAAAAAAAAAAAAAAAACCTTTTCACAGAAAATTCATTTTCTTCAAGAAGTAAATTAGGTATAATACAATTAGTAGATGCGTAGGGGTTAAGTTAGGAATATAGGTATGTATAAGTTACGGAAATAGGTATGTAGGGTTTTAAGATAAAGATATTTAGGGGTTAGGAAAAAAGGTATGTAAGGTATGTATATTCTGTTTTGTGTTTTTGGGTACATTATCGGTTTTCTGAGAAGCAGTAAAGAAGCGATTCCGTTTAATAAAAACATTTATTTAAAATTTTTGTAGCGATTATCAATTCATAAATTGTTAGGCATTGTTAATAAACTAAATGTCGCCGACGCTTTAACCTAACTCTTTGTTTGAAACTCGATGAAACGAATATATATAAACATAAATAAAAAAAACTATAAAAACTGCCTCTTTAGACCAGTCTATTTTATCAAACTAGCGATGAAGATAAGTCAGTTTTGCTAAAATTTTCTAAATAAATGCGCAACTAGGTACAGGAGGAAATTATTAGTTATTTAAATATTGTTTATATATATATATATATATATATGTATATATATATATATATATATATATATATATATATATATATATATAAATATATATATATATATATATATATATATATATATATATATATATATATATATATATATATATATATATATATATATATATATATATATATATATATATATATATATATATATATATATAAAATATAAGCGAAAAAAAAAATACAATAATTGAAATTAGAAATTAAAGTGGATTCCATTTGAGTTGTCTAGAATTATAGAACAACCACTTAATTTACTCAGCCGTAAACTTCTTGGGTAAGTCATCCATTTAGTTTTTGCTCCATACTTGCTGTATACTTGGATATTTACCACTGGATATTGCCCATGTCGCATCTTCAAACATTTTAGTTTTACAAATATACGTTCGAATTGGCATATTCAAATATCCCGTTATTTCATCCTACATTTTGTTGCCCATATGGCTAAAAAATTTGTTTCTAATTTGCTTATGTTCATCTTCATTTCCAGTTATAGTAAAAGAAACTGCTCTAAAAAATCTGTTTATAAAAAATCTTTTTTAATTCTATGGATTCCCCTAGGACAAAGACTTAGGTTGATCTTTTTTATAACGACATTATGTTTCTTAACAATTCCAAATTTTTCTGCAATTAATTTTCTCATATCAAAAGTAGCTATTCTTTCATTTGAAACGTTTACACTGCTTTTATGTTGAGTATTATTGTATGTGTTGCTTGATTTGACGGCTTTGATAATTAGTTCAATTTTATATATATTTCACTGCAGTAATAGATTACAAAAGTTTCAATATTTTCATTTAAATACTCGCTTCTTTATTGCTTTTCAAGAAACTGCAGTAATTAAAAGTATTCACAAAATACAACGTGGTTTGGTTTAAAAATACATTTTGCCGCAAAATATTTTATGGGAGCAAAAATCTCGTAATGGGAATTTAATATAAGATTTTTACTAGGGTTTAAAAAAATGCGGGAGTAAAAATCTAATACTGCACCGGGTGAACAAAAAAAGTAATTGCTTTTATTCAGCATTTTTGGAGTAATTGTTCAGCCTTTCGTGAATGAAAATTTTATCAAAATCGCTCAAATTTTTATTCTCCTAAAGATGAGCAATTTACTCCAAAAACGCTAAGTAAAAGCAAATGGTTTTTTTTTATTGATGGTAAAACAATGTTTACTTTGATGTAAAAATAATATAATAAAAATTATATATATATAGTTTGTTTTATTGTTGTACAATTATATTGTAATAATAAAAATAACAATTACCTTTATAAATTTACAATGATAAACAATATAAACAAGGGAACTGAAATAAATCAGAACTATAAATAAGCCAATTTTTAAAATGCAGTAATAAACTTCTTGCAATGTTGAGACCAAGTAAACTGTAATTAACTTCTTACAATGATGAAATTAAGTTTATAAAGTATATTGAGTAATATTATAAACAAGCAGTGACGGATGGGGGGTGGGGGTGCCCCTGGATCCCCACCCCCCATCCCCCACCCCACTAATATCTGAAAATTCAAAAATATCTCAGAAATGGAGAACGTCTTTTTATTTTTAGAAGACTTCAAAGTGATACAAAGTACAAAAATATTTAAACATCTGTAAACATAATAAATTTTTATTGTTAAAGTAGGTTATATGGAACTGCACAAGTTATACTAAGATAAGTGGTTATATCTTATGAGATAAGTGGTTATAACTTGATAAATACCATTACTTACAACAACTTTTATTTTAGTTTTATATTTTGAAAATTTATTTTTTTATTATATAGTATTTAAGTTTATGTACTAAAATGTGGTGACCAATATCAATTTAATATTTAAATTTAATATTTAAACATTTAAAATTTAAAAACATAATATTTAAACATTTTAAAAGTTTTTAATAGACATGTCACGACAAGTGATTTTGCCGAATACCGAATATTTGGCTAGGCGCTCGGCGAAAGCACCGAATATTTCGCTGCCGTTCTAAAACAAATTTTAAGGGATTAATTAAAACACAGCAAGAAAAACAAAAAAAGAAGTTATAATGCTCTGAAAAAAGATTAAGTCAGTGATAGGTTAATCCTTTTCAGTGAAAGGCTGCTTGACACGGATGAACCATTAACGGTGTATAGTAGCACCGGCGATGATTTATCTCCACTTCATAAAAAAAAGAATTGTAAATAAAAACGATCAAACCAATCTCCACAGAAAATATGCACCGAATATTATATGAATACCGAATAGTCACCAAATATGTGTGACATCTCTAATTTTTGATATGTTAATATTGATAATGATAAAAATTCTTAACTATTGATAGTTAGAAATTTTTAACATAAAACATATACTCTATAGAAACTTGATAGAACTTTTTTTCTGGAGTTCAACTCAGCTGAAAATGTAATTATCCCTATTATATTTAAACCGAAATAAATAATATAAAGTAACTTATTATTATGAAGATATTTGTATTTTATATTAGGGGAAAGCGGGGCAACATGGCGAATGGGGCAAGATGGGTTTTCATATAACAACTCAACAAAAATTTTTAAAATTGGGTGAAAACGAAACTATATTTGCATCTTGTATTTTAAAACACCAATTGGTTTTTTGAAATATTATTAACGCCATTTTATACAAATATGTTTACTTTTTGCGCTTAAAAAAAAATTCCTCATTTTCGGTTTCTCATAATGGTTGGTGTCCTTCAAGTTTAACTTCTTTAGAAGTAGTTTTAGCAATTTGTGTTTATTTTTTGTTACTTTAATTAGAGTTATTAGCAGTTTTTAAAATTTTATAAAATTGGAGGTAAAAATTGCATAATAAGTCATCTTGCCCCGGTCACGTGACCAGATGACAAATTTATGAACTTTTTATTTTAATATTTATTTCAAATTGTTATATTTTCAAACTGAAAATTCATGCAGGCAATGAAAGAACTTAATAGCATAAATATACTGAGAAAGTATTATGGCTTCACGACTTATAGTTTTTCAATAACTCAGGGCTTTCAAAACGTTGGCCATGTTGCCCCACTTTCCCCTAAATATAATTTTTTTTTTTTTTTCAATTTTTGAAAACGTCCAAAGTACAGAGACGAGGCGACAGTAATTACTAATTACAGATTTTTTAGAATACGTAATTTTTTAAATTTTTCATAGTTGGAGACATTTTCCTTGATAGAAACTCTAAAAATGTAAAATGATCAAATAAGAAGTTAGCAACACGATACCAAATGAAGAGAAAATGTTGCAGTTACTGATGGTTTGCTTATTTGTTAAAGAGAAATTATAGTGTTTTTCATTTTCCAAAATAAATTTCCACAATAAGAAGTTTAAATTGAACAAGGTGATTGTAGGGAGTTTTTCTTTAAAAGGTTGCAATTAAAAAAAAGGCTGGCCTATGTTCTGACTTCAGTAAAGTAAAATACAACAATACTTCTACTATGTCTTTCAGCCGTAGTACACTTCACATTGCGCAAGTCTTTCCGTATGGAAAGCTATTTTTATTCCTGAAACTCTTGAGAAAATATCTTGATTCTTTTCAGCATCCGCTTATAGATGGGATGTTTTAACAGATCACACTAGATTATTAGCTAAATGTGACTTTATGCAAGAGGAGTCTTTTATAAATTAAATTTATTAAGAATTAATTTAAGATTAACTACGGTACAGTCAAGACATTCATATCAAGCATTAAAATAAGTAATTTTATGATATTAATTTTATATAATTCAGAAGTTTGCAGCTTAAGATCTCTACGGGCATTTGTTGTTAAAAAATATATTTTAAACGTTTTTCAAACGTCTTTTAAACGTTTTTTAAGTAAGAATGTTTAGAAGACGTTTAAAAGATACTTAAAATACATTAAGAACGTAACTTTTAAAAAAGGAATGCCCGTAGGAGAGGAAAAGAAAGTTAATTTTAAACGTGTGATGTAAAACAAGTTTATAAATAATTTTATATATTTATATGAGCAATTATTGAATGTTCATGATAAATTAAAAGTACTAATTTTATGTAACTGTGAATCCTAATATTTATTCATAGCTTTTGTTTATATAAAAATATAATCTATAAATATATAAATAACATCTTTTTACTTCTTGTGATTCACAACTTTACAGTTAACAATTTTCACTCGTACAGTTAACAATTTTCACTCGTACAGTTAACAGTTTTCCCTCGTATAGTTAACAATTTTCACTCGTATAGTTAACAATTTTTACTCCTACAGTTAACAATTTTCCCTCATACAGTTATAAATTTTCACTGGTACAACTAACAATTTTCCCTCGTACAGTAAACAATGTTGCTCATTTATTTTTTGTTTCATGAGAAGATGTTGCGAGGAGTGACTAGGAGTGGTTCTAACTCTGGTGATTCTACTGATTAAATTACAAATGTAAATATCAAAGGTTACAGCAAAATCAGTGCATTAATAATTGTTTGGCAATTCATAATGCAAGTATATGTTAAGATTTTTCTTCTGTGCCGCTACAATTAATTTGTATGAAAAATAAATGATTGATTTGGGAGAATTCAACTTCTTGATTGCCTCGTTATTGACTCCCTAAAAAAATACAATCTACTAATTTAGAAAATAAAGAGCTTTTTTTATTTAAAAACGAAACAAGCCTGACCTAACGGAGACGCTAGTGGCTTTAAATTTTAAATTAAACATAAAATGATGTTTATCGTGGTTGATGCTAAGGTGTTTAACACAGACAATCAAATAACATTCGCAACGATATACTACAGATGATTAACTTAATTAATTAGAAAAATTATTAATTTTGCTTGAAAGAGTTGTATATTTAAAATTGTATTAATTATTTCTAAAATTTGGGTATTACATAATTTGATCAGTAAACAAAGAGGTCGTTGTCAAGCAAAGCTACATTGTATTATGGATAATAACTTCAATGATAACAACGTCTGCCTAGAATTTTTTTCAGATCCAGAATCGACATCTGATAATGGAAACAACATCAAATGAACATAAAGCTAATTTAAAAAAAAAATTAGGGAGTGTACTAAATCTATACATCTGGTATTAAATACGCACTTAAACGCATAAATACCGTATTATGCGAATTTGATGCCAGAGATTGTGGCTGGGTAAGGAGTTATATCCATGGTATCAATGCAAAAAAACTAATTTATGGTTTCATTGTAACATATATGCTATCTTTTATCTATTGGTGACTTATCAGATTAGGCAGCTAAAGTTTTTGAAGTTCCAGTAGCATAATGTTTCTACTCGTTGCAACGTTCAAGAACATTATGGTTGGTATATTTTAAAACATAAATTAATTTAATGATATTTACCTTTTGTTTTTTAGATTTTTTTTTTTGTTTTATAAACTCTTATAATATTGTTTTATTAATTTATTATTATTGATTAACTTTTTTTATTTACTTGGATTTAAAAAAAAAAGAAAGATTGATAACAATTATTAACTTTATAATATAAAAAATATCACAATTGACACTATCAAGTTTAATAAAAATTTTGTTGTCATTGATGATTTCAGTTGTGATTGATAAAACATGTCAAAAATTTAAATGATGGTTATTTTTCTTAAAACATTTTTCTTAATATATATATATATATATATATATATATATATATATATATATATATATATATATATATATATATATATATATATATATATATATATATATATATATATATATATATATGAACAAGTTATTGTGTTAATACTAATTATATTATTACCCGATACTAAATTTTCTAGTAAATATACAATAAAAATACAATCACTAATTATTTATTTAGTTAAGTTTAATAAAAAATAACTTTGTTAAATTTTTATACCTTAAATCAAAAACAAAAAGTCCTACTATTATCTAAATACTTTGATTTGATTTAAACATGTTTACGTATTCTTGAAAATTTATTTTGTTAGGTTTATGTGCGATTGCGATACCACAAATAGAGAATTTTATATCACTGATTGGTGCTATAACTGGCTCTGGTCTAGGAATTATTTTTCCTGTTCTCATCCATAGCGCTACTTTTCATAATGACGGTCTTTCAAAACTTGTTTTGGGAAAAAATTTGTTTTTAATACTGATCGGAATAGTTGCTTTTTTTATTGGCACGTATTCTTCTGTTAAAGCGATCATAATTGGATTTCGGTCTTCTAACAACACCTATATTTGATAATTTAGCTAAATATTTGTAATATAAAAAAAATAGTCTATATTTTTGAAAGTAGAACAAATAGTTGTAATTTTTTAAAAAAGTTTTGTAAACATTCATACAGCACTCTTTATGAAGTAAAAAGAATAGATGGTTTCATATTTGACCTGGTTTTCTCGTACGTTAGGGTAGGCTCCTTTACTTTTTTTGAAGTACAATTGTGATTGACTTTTAATCATGAATTACTTTACATTTGCAAGCATTTCTTTTTTTATTACCATTATATGACAAAAAATATAAAAAAAGGTGATTGTTTTTATCTGCGTGTAAAAGTAATTTAATTCAAGAGCTAATATAGATTTTACTTTTGCAAGAAGTTTGCATAAGAATTTAATTTATTTTTTATATATAATGCAGGTAGAATTCCCCTAAAAACTACGCAAATTTTCAAAATGGAATACATCCGTTACAGGTCAACTATTTGAACTTTTTTTTTCTAATTTGAAAATACTTATTATAGGGTTTTTCTTCCCTGGAAGTCGTTATTCTTGTTTTGCCATATTTGGTAAAAATCAAGTCAATTTTCTAATTTTTTCAAAGATTCCCCTTAAAAACTACAAGGAACATAATTGTATTTATATGGATAAAAATTTTCTGAACCTTCTAAATTTTTTAATTATTTTATCAGAAAGTAGTGTAGCATGATATATAAGGAGGCTTGCTAACTAAGTATAACAAAAAAAAAAGCATTTTAACTAGTGAAGTCCTTTAAAATCTACACGATTTCCCCCTTAAATACTAAATTACATTAGGTAAAATATGCCTCTACGAGCTCACTTAGAATAGCCAGGAATTTCTTTAACTAAGAAATGGTAAAATGGTTGTAACTGGCACCTTTCTGTTCATTTTGTGCTCATAATCTCTAATCAAGTATGTATATTCTTTATTTTTAGCATTTAAATAAAATAATAGTATGGAAAAACTGCAGTTTAATTTTAAGATTTCTGCTGGTAGAAAAAGAAGTAGAACAAAGAAAACTTGAACCCAGAAAATAAAAAACGAGAACAAGCAGCATTAAAAACAGGAAAGTTTCCTTTCATTAAAGATCGTTGTACAATAGACAGAAGGTTAGATGGCAAAGTTAAGAATGCACAAAAGGAACATTTGAGAGTGTTACATCCAGATGATGAGAAGGAAATAGTTTGTTTTATCAGAAACAAAAACAGAGCCCACAGGGACTTTCTACGATAGAAGTTTCTGAAATTATTTTAGATGTGCTGAAAATCAGAGATCATTTGAACAAAAATGGAAAAGGTGGAAGAAAGTTTATAAAACTATAACCAAGTGCAAAAACAGCCCTACAAAATGAAAGGTAAGCAAGTTTTTTCTTTAAACTAGTTAATCAACATCCCAACCGGTACAAGGGTACGGTAGATATTAAATAGATGTAAAATACTGAACCTTCTTACCCAAATTATTTAAACTCAGGAGATCATTTTGGAGAAGATGGCACGCTGAATATGATGATATTGACATTAAGAGGCAAGGCCGAATTAAAATGAACAGAGCCCTAAATTGTACTAAGGAGATGGCTACAGATCATCTAAGTACACATTTTTTATCTCATATTGTTTTTTTAGTTAAGCCTGAATATAAAAATATCTATTTTCATTTTCATTCTCAAGTGTTCTACAACTTGGTTTTTATTCTTTAAATAAGTTTATATGTTTTGTACTTTGATAATTTATGTAACTTGATTTTATTATTAACTTTACAACTTTTTTTATCCCAGATGCCTTAGCTGACGAAATGACTGCTTGTAGTATAATGAAAAACTATAAAAAAAACAAAAAATGGTGTATGGGTTGGTGATATTGCAACAGAAAGAGTTTTTAATCATGATGAAACACTACAGTTTGTTAACTACAGTGTATATGGTACTGTCATTGGGTTAGTTTATGCTGGCAAAGGAGAGACATGTATAAAAATGATTCGCAAAAACAGAGAGAGCATAACTATAAATTCATTTGTTTCATTATCAGGTGAGCCAATTAAACAACTTTTCACAACTAAAGTTGTGGCTTTTATAGTTTTATATTTTTAAAAAGTGAAATATAATATTCATATTTTTAGGAGAGGTTTCATTCTGTCAGGTAATAGTTGCTGGTAAAGACATAAAGAGTCAGATGACACCGCAAAAAGCTGTCAGTAACATCAAAAATTTGATCATCTCCCCGACAGAGAGTGGTTCGAAAGATGCGTATAAGAAACTTGACAAACCTTTTACCAAACAAGGTATAGAGTGACCAGTTGTGCTTCCATCAGATGGTCATTCGTCGTGGTTTGACTTTAAAGTTCTTAATTTTTTGCGTGAAAAGAGAATGACTTTATTTGTGTCTCTGCCTGACACTACTTGAGTCACACAGCTCCTAGAACAAGCACAAAATCAACAACTCCATTGATATTTCAATAACACACGAGATGAACTTTTTTCCTTTTTCTAGACAATAAATTGAGAAAGTTTCATGAATTGTTTCTAGAAACAATGTGGAACAATTGGGATTCCACTTCCAATATCGTAGCAGCTACTAAGACAGTTGGTATAAGTTAGAATGGTCTTAATGTTGATGATATGCAACAGGATAAATTTGAAGAAGCAGCTATCCTTATTGATAAAACTGATGATGTTTCTCTGTCTATCTGCTACTCCTAAGAAAACAAGAAGTATGACAATTCAAGACCACAATCCAAAGTTGCTCAAACAAAAGGACGGTGTGGTTCAGCCTAATATTGGAAATCAATATATGAAATGTCCCAATCATTCATTGAGGAATCATATGAGAAAAGTCTCAATTTAGTAGAAGTACCTGGCTTACTTTCAGTAAACCGGGTTAAACCCAAGGAGGTTTATCAGACAAAAACAACAAGGGTCTCTAATGTGCATGGATCGATGGAGGATTAAGATTGCTTTCATAAATGGCTTTTCTCGAAGAAGAAAAACAAAAAAGAAACTGTGATTCAGAGGAGAAAAAGAAGCATAAGCTTCAAGAATGAGAACTGTTTTATCGTTGCAAACTGCAATGCTCTTGCGTAGAAGAATGTCTTTCAAAATCTTTAAAGGAGTGTTCGCAATGTCATTCCATTCTTAAATCTGTTTGTACTAAAATGGCTTGTCGCATTGATAGCTAGAAGCCAACAATGATTCTTCCTGCACCTGCAGCACCACGCTCTAATTCTTTAGAAAAATAATTTATTTTGGTTCTGATTCAAATATATCAAATTTCATCTCAGAAATGTTTTTTTAGATGAAATGATTGTTTATTGCATACAGAAGCTATTCTACAAATAAAATGAAGGGGAGTGGGGCTGAATCCATAAAAAGTACCTATATATATATATATATATATATATATATATATATATATATATATATATATATATATATATATATATATATATATATGTATATATATATATATATATATATATATATATATATATATATATATATATATTTTTTTTTTTTTTATTTTTTTATTTTTTTTTTTTTTTGCCGTTTCATACATTTACAATAAAGACATATTACATTTATAAAAATTGGCTGGAGCAAGAAGAAGACAATTTTAAATTTTTCTAAAGAGTAGTGTTCTTTATTAAAGTTTTTAATAAAATTTTTCCATAAAAATGTCCTCGATATTGAATTCGATAAGAACTTATTTTTAAATTAATTCTCGGAACAATAAAGTTATCCTGTGAAAACTTTGTTGAATACTTATGAGATATTTTGCTAAAGTAAGATTGAAATATAGGTGGAGATACTCCATGTTTCATTTTAAACATAAAAAGTAATGTTTGGTAAATGTTTAATTCATAAATATTTAAGGCCTTGAGACGATTTAATAGCGGTTTGCAATAAACAGTTCTGTTTGCCCCGAATACAATCCTACAAGCATGCTTTTGTTTACTATAAAGTTTTTTGAGTTTTCCGTAATTCGTACTTCCCCATGCAATGTTGCAGTAAGAAAGATAGCTGTGAATAAATGAAAAATAAATTTTCATTAGAGCTTTTGCGTTTAAAAATGGTTTTGTTTTATAAAGTACGGAAATATTATAAGAGATTTTACTTTCAACAGATTGGATGTGAAACTTCCATGACAAGGTTTCATCAAGAATTACGCCTAAAAAGTTAACAGTAGATTCCCTTTTTACATCTGTTTTATTGAATAAAAGATTTGGCAGTGGAATATTATCTTAAATTTTAAAATTGTAAAAAAAGCAACTTTTTAATTAATTTCTCAATATGATGTTTAAAAAAAATACAAGAAATGTGTGTGTGTATATATATATATATATATATATATATATATATATATGTATATATATATAAATATATATATAAATATATATATATTTATATCTACTATAGCAATATATATGCGCGATTGCTCACTTTTTTTGCTAGCCTAAATTAAGTAAGCGTTTTTAAAAAACGAAGAGGGAAAACGAATAATAATGAATGAAAAGGTTGCTGACCCATACCAAACCCTCAGTCGATGTAGCAGCACTCCACTGCGATTCAGGCTATTTGTCAGTCGATGTATGTACTGAAGCCCCCGGCAACAGGCTATTAGACGTTAGGTGAGTATGGCATCATCATGCTCACCTAACTCAGCAGTATAAGATATAGCAGTATATATATATATATATATATATATATATATATATATATATATATATATATATATATATATATATATATATATATATATATATATATATATATACCTTGCTGACATTCCAGTGAGAGTGTCGTCATTCCAGTGACAGTGTTGCTTATTTTTTATAATGTCATTTTACCAAAAATGGTATTATCGAAAAAAAAAGTGGTCTTTATGTGTAAACCATCTTAATCATGTGTGTATGTACCATGTGCATAAAAGTACATGTATATGATTGTAATGTAAGAGTATATGTGTGTGATAAAATCATAAAAACATAGACATTTACTTTTAGGCAGTCATAACCATTTTAAAATTAAATTTTCATGGTGTTTTTTGCACTTTACTTTATATTGAAAAAAAAAAATAAAACTTAAAAATATAAAATTCAACAAAAATTGAAAAACAAAGAAGCAAACCCGGAAAACAGTTTATGGAATGAT